ATGGAGCGGCTCATCCTCACCCATCTCCGCTCCGTGGTCAGCCCCACCCTGGACCCGCTGCAGTTCGCCTACAGGCCCAACATCGGAGTAGAGGACGCCGTCATCTACTTCCTGCAGCGGACGCTCTCCCACCTGGAGCCTGCCGGGAGCGCTGTGAGGGTCATGTTCTTCGACTTCTCCAGCGCTTTCAATACCCTCACTGCATGGACCATCAACTACCTCTCAGAGCGACCACAGTACGTGCGGCTGCGTAGCTGTGAGTCTGAGGTGGTAGTCTGCAGCACTGGGGCCCCTCAGGGCACTGTCCCTCTCACCGTTTCTCTTCACCATCTACACCTCAGACTTCACACACGACACACACAGCTGTCACCTGCAGAAGTTCTCCGACTCGCCATCGTGGGCTGTGTGTCTGAGGGGAACGAACTGGAATATCGGTCGGTTATCAAGGACTTTGTCGACTGGTGCGAGCGCAACCACTTGTGCTTGAACACCAGTAAGACCAAGGACTTCAGGAGAAAACCACTTTCCCACACGCTGCTGAACATCCAGGGGGAGGACATTGAGCTGGTGGACAGCTTCAAGTACCTGGGTGTTCACATTAACAATAAACTGGACTGGTCCCATAATACAACCGCCCTGCACAAGAAGGGCCAAAGTCGCCTCTTCCTTCTGAGGAGGCTGAGGTCCTTCGGAGTGAGCAGGCCTCTGCTCAGGACTTTTTATGACTCTGTGGTAGCCATTTACTACGCTGCCGTGTGCTGGGCCCCGGGCAGCACAGAGCGGGACAGAAACAGACTGAACAAGCTGGTCAGGAGGGCCAGCTCCACTCTGGGCTGTCCCTGGACTCTGTGGAGGAGGTGAGGGACAGGAGGGTGCTAGCCAAAGCTACCCCCTTCATGAACAATACCTCCCACCCACTGCACAGGACTGTAGAGGAGCTGAGGAGCTCCTTCAGTGGAAGACTGAGACACCCTCAGTGTAGGAAGGAGCGGTACCGCAGGGCCTTAATCCTCACCGCTGTCAGACTGTACAATAAGTCACTTTAAATGGTCACTGTGTGAAAACCTGCACTACTATTGACACTGTTTCCAATTGACACTTGTCACTTTAGTTGTACATAATTATTGTCACTTTTGTTGTACATATACAGTATATCCTGCATGTAACATGTTTGCACATTTCCTCCTTTTGCACAATCTGAGTGTCTCTATCCATGCCAAATGTGACATGTAAATTTCTCCTATGTGAGATAAATAAAGCACATCTTATCTTATCTTCGTATACTGAGACAGAGACCTCTGTCTCAGTATACATACAGACCTCTGTCTCAGTATACATACAGACCTCTGTCTCAGTACACATACAGACCTCTGTCTCAGTATACATACAGACCTCTGTCTCAGTATGGATACAGATCTCTGTCTCAGTATACAAACACATCTATTATTAGGATGGTTCTTTGTGTGCACTGATGTGCATCTGCTGTTCCTCTTTCAGCAGTAAAACACAGAATACAGTCTTTATGGCCATTGATCCCATTCTTCCCTCCCATGGAAACCTTACCTCATAACTCTCTGGCACCTCGCTCTAAAACCTGTTATCTACTGTTTTGTATCTGTTTGTTGCAGTCCCAGGCGAACCACAGTGGCCACGGCTCCATGCACTCTCTGGACGTGGACGTGGGAGCAGGGACCCTGTGGAGTTCTGCAGGGACAGCCTGAGGAGGGTACAGTCCACCGACAGCCTGGGCTCCAGCGGGTCCCCACAGCAGGGCCTGGGCAAGGCCAAGTCCTCCAGCCACCTGGACGAGTCTGACTTTGGCCCCCTGGTGGGCGCAGATGGTAGGACAACATTTCACATTCAGGGTTAACCTACAGCAGGGGTCTCCAACCTATAGCTAGGGAGATACCAGTAGCTCGCCAGCCCCTTTCAGGTAGCTCCCCAAAGGATTCAGATTTTAACACATGATCTTGAATGAATGCATTTTGAGTCATTACTTGTCAATTATAAGTAAAGATATATTATATAAGTTCTACAGTATTATAGGATATTGATTTTTACTACTACTACAAAAAGGATTAGTTCTCTGCCTCTACCTTCTGTTGTATAAAAGTAGCTCCCCGAATGAAAAAGGTTTGAGACCCCTGACTGCCCCCTGTTAGAACACCATCAGAGGTCTCGTCACCTCCCCCTGGTCTCTCCTGGTTCACCTCCTTCTGGTCTCTCCTGGTTCACCTCCTCCTGGTCTCTCCTGGTTCACCTCCTCCTGGTTTCTCCTGGTTCACCTCCTCCTGGTTTACCTCCCCCTGGTCTCTCCTGGTTCACCTCCTCCTGGTTCACCTCCCCCTGGTCTCTCCTGGTGCAGGTCTGGTGGACAGCAGCCTTGGAGACTCCTCCTCTCTCAGCTCTGTGAAGTTACCAGCCACACACTTCCTGCTGACCAAAGACCAGGAGAAAGCCATCAAAGCCATGACCCCGGAGCAGGAGGAGACGGCCTCGCTGCTCTCCAGCATCTCCCAGGCCCCAGACACCGGCTTCCTGCCTCCAGGCTACAGGCTGGTGAGCGACAGCGAATGGAGCCTGCTGCAGCAAGAGGTGGGCCCCACAGAGACACTAAACAGGCTCAGCTACACACAAATTGGGCACTGTAGCTTTAAGAACACAAACCTGAACAGCCAATCAGCTCGCACCCAAGAAATTATTTATATTTTTTAATTTTCCTTTTCAGTGGATAGTGGATTGCAGTAGTTAGAGTTTGTTTCACATCAAGGAGGTCCAGTGTTCGATTCCACCTCCAGACCTTTCTGTGTGGCGTTTGCATGTTCTCCCCGTGTCTGAGTTGGTTTCCTCCGGGTGCTCCAGTTTCCCCCAGTAGTGAGTGATGATATGTCAGTCATCACCGTGTGGAGGGAGGGAACAGTGTCTGAGGACTGCTTTAAGGAAGTCTGGGCGTCTCTGCTTAGACTGCTGCCCCCGCGACCAGGCAACGGATGAAGCGGAAGAAAATGGATGGATTCAGTCTTGATGGTGTGTCTGTGTTTCAGCTGAAGAACGCAGGTCGAAAGCTTGGCCGCAGGTGTGAGCTTTGTTCCAACTACGAGAAGCAGCTGCAGGCGATTCAAGGCCAGGAGGCAGAGACACGGGACCAGGTGAGACTCTGAGGGAACCGGTTGAGACACGGAACCAGGGGAGACTGAGGGACCAGGTGAGACTCTGTGGGACCAGGTGAAACTCTTTTGAATCTGCAAAAGGAGTTAACCCCTCCCACCTGTTAACGGAGTCAATGGAGCAGATCCAGACCATTGTACAAATGAAATGAGTGCAGTGTTGTGGTAAGACCAGGCTGTGAAACTTAAGCTGTGACTCTTCAAACGATCACTCCTGATGCTTTGGTCTCAAGACCAGAGCTTTAGAACTGGGATTTCCTGGAGGTTCCTGTAAACACAGAGTGTGTTTAGGTGAAGAAGCTGCAGCAGATGCTGCGTCAGGCCAACGACCATCTGGAGAGGACCATAACGGAGAAACAGGACCTGGAAGACTCTGTCAAACTGGGCAACGAGGAGACCACAGCCAAGGTACCACTTACGCAGACGCTCTCACGCAGACGCTCTCACGCAGACACACTCACGCAGACGCACTCATGTAGACGCACTCACGCGGACGCCCTCACGTGGACGCCCTTGCGCACACGCACTCACGCGGACGCCCTCGCGCACATGCCCTCGCGCACACGCCCTCACGCGGACGCCCTCACGCGGACGCCCTCACGCAGACTCACTCACGCAGACGTCCTCGCACTCATGCAGACACCATCACACCCATGCAGACTCACTCATGCAGGCGCACTCGTCCAGACTCACTCATGCAGACGTGAGTGCCTGCGCTGCTCTGGTCTCATTTTGTGTGTGTGTCTCTCTCTCTCTCTCTCTCTCTGTGTCTCTCTGCGTGTGTCTCTGTGTGTGTGTGTCTCTGTCTGTGTGTTGCAGGTAGCAGCTCTGATGCAGAGGGTGCAGGAGTCTGAGTCTCTGCTGAATTCTCTACAACAGGCCTTTAGTGACGCCAAACACAGCACACAGGAGCAGATGGTCAGTCTCTGTATACGCTCTCTCTCGTTCTCGCTCTCGCTCTCTCTCTCTCTCTCTCTCGAGCAGATGGTCAGTCTCACTCACAATGAAAAATGTCTTTTCCAAACAGCTCTGTAATGATGTTTAAAGCAGAAAGGTGAAGTGGGACCTTTAACCCTCTCAGGCCCAGTTACATTTGAACGTCAGGAGGAATCTGATATTTGGGGAAAATGATCATATGGGGCAGTATTATACAATCCTGCATTTTTTTTAGAGAGAGTGTCCTTCACAGGGAATGCATTCTGTGGTGTTGCAGATTTGCAACATTGGCCCGCTGTGTTAAATAGAGTTGACCTGGGGACAACCCAGAGCAAATAAAATCTACTGCATGTTCTGTATCTATATTTATTCATCTTTCATTTATGTAGTTTTGCTTTCACGTTACTGGAGGTCGGTCGTGATTCAGATTTGAAATGTATGCTTAGAAAATCTGTTTTTGGTGAAACCATGGAGACTGACATATTGGAAGTGAGACAGCGCCCCTGGTGGGCAGGTGGAGGACTGTGTGTTGATAAAGCTCTGTCCATCAGTGGTACTTCTGAGGAACAAAGGGTAAAAAATATGTATGTGGAGAAGTTAGGTAATAAGAAATTAAGATGTTGCAAATCTGCAACGCCTGGAGAGGGCTAAGACTGTGTGTGTGTGTGTGTTTCAGAGTGCTCTGATGCAGTCCCGGGAGCAGCTGGTGGAGGAGCTGAGGCGTCTGCACAGAGACAACGAGAACATCCTGAACAAGCAGCGGCTCCATACAGAGCTCCAGCAGCAGGAGGACTTCGGCATGCCCTCCTCTGAGTCTGTGAGTGTGTCTGTGTGTGTGTCTGTGAGTGTGTCTCTGTCTCTGTGTCTGTGAGTGTGTCTGTGTGTGTGTCTGTGAGTGTGTCTGTGAGTGTGTCTGTGAGTGTGTCTCTGTGTCTTGGAGTGTGTCTCTGTGTCTTGGAGTGTGTCTCTGTGTCTGTGAGTGTGTCTGTGAGTGTGTTTCTGGGTCTGTGAGTGTGTTTCTGGGTCTGTGAGTGTGTTTCTGGGTCTGTGAGTGTGTTTCTGGGTCTGTGAGTGTGTCTCTGCGTCTGTGAGTGTCTCTGTGTCTGTGAGTGTCTCTGTGTCTGTGAGTGTCTCTGTGTCTGTGAGTGTGTCTGTGTCTGTGAGTGTGTCTCTGTCTGTGAGTGTGTCTCTGTGTCTTGCAGTGTGTCTCTGAGTCTGTGAGTGTGCCTCTGTCTGTGAGTGTGTCTGTGAGTGTGTTTCTGTGTCTCTGTGAGTGTGTTTCTGGGTCTGTGAGTGTGTCTCTGTGTCTGTGAGTGTCTCTGTGTCTTGGAGTGTGTCTCTGGGTCTGTGAGTGTGCCTGTGTCCGTGAGTGTGTCTCTGTCTGTGAGTGTATCTGTGTGTCTGTGAATGTGTCTCTGTGTCTGTGGTTTTGTTACTCATTAAGAACGTTACTACTCATACAAAAAATATTACTAACGGCATTAATGACAATAAAACAGCAGTAGTAGCAGTAGTTACATGACTTCTCTCCATGACAGAGACAGACCCACAGCTGCTGCTGCTCGTCTTCTGATTGGTTGAAGCCCACGTAAGAGGGTCAAGGGATTTTTTGACGCGGAAAGAGACGCGAGCGATTTGCGCGTCAAAAGCTTCAAGTGTCGCGCGTATTACTCGCAACTTTTGAAGCTTTTGACACGCTTCACCATTCATTTTCAATGCAAACCTGACGCTTTTGACGCCGAAGTTAAATCCGGTCTGAACGCGCCATAATGTAACAACTGTAAACCGCTTTGACTCTGGTCTCTGAAAGGCGCTATATAAATATTACTTACAGTGTGTCAGTGTGTGTGTGTGTGTGTCTCTTTGTGTCTCTCTGTTATGCCGTTTTTCGACTCTACACGGGGCGGCACAGCCCAGTTTGCGTGCTTTTCCATCAAAAATAGTACCCCCTAGTATGTCCTCAGTGTTGTCAGACCATGTCATTTAACTTGTATTGGTGCGGTGCTTGGATTTATTATAATATCAGACGAACAGCAAGTGTTTAATAGAAAATTCAACACAGCACGAGTGGTTTTGGAAAATGCTTATGTCTTAAAATAATGACTCGGACACTGTGAAGTCAATGGGGCTGACTGTGCTCTGTACAATCTGAATGGGACATACCTGTAGCAACAGCAGCCTGTGCTTGTCCGAGAATCAGGATACGGCCTGGGTATAGCTAATGCTAGCGCTAGCTCGAGACTCAGCTTGCTCACTAACCCTGGATTCCAAAGCTACAACTGTACTACACTTAATACATCTATCACTTCCCCCAGAAGAGGATCCAGGGTTTAAACTCGTCATATGGCAACTCAAGCAGTAAAGGAGCAGCCATAGGGGTAGCGAGTTAGCGGCTAGGCTAGGCTAGTCCGGACCCGGGTCCAGTGCAGCAGACTCCGAGACCAGACAAACAACCGATACCCAAACCTCAGCTACGATACAGTTGATTCAGAGTGCTTACAAAGTTAGCTTGTTGTAGACTAATACGTGGATTTATCAAAGGTTAATGCAAACAGAGCGCAGAGGCATAACAATAAAACACGTTCACCGGACATACAGATTTAGACTTGCCACAATCCTTTATAAATCAATGAAACACAGTCTTGGGATACAATCACAAATTTATTAAAAACAAACGTAAAGTGAAAAACCATTAGTTTCAAATCACGTATAAAAGTAAGCAAAGTAAGTTCAAAGTACGTATGTGTGAGACCAGATGAGGAGAATACTCTGGTCACTCATTGCTCGTTGGTAATCTCCACACTTATGGAAAGGGACTCTCATACAAATATACACACGATAACTTAAATACAAGCACAAACAGAATGACAACACGTGGATACTGTAGATAATACGAGATAAAGCACAGTAGCACAGGAAGGACGTTAGCTGCTATCGATAGCTAAAAGAAGCTAAACGTAGCTAGCTCACTGTGTACAACAGACAATCAAACATGTACAGTACACAGTAAATACATTTCGGTGAGAGCTTTGGGCCAACGGGATTCGTAGCTAACCAGTTATTTCCAGGATTACCATAGACTAGTCACATATCCAGAGCTGGGTGATCTCCCTGAAAACCTCATGAAACCTCTGTGTTGAGCCTCGAGCTGCCTTTGAATCCTTTCTTTGGCCTGAAGAGAGTAACATGTGGACCTCGTCCACCGACCAGGGCCTTTTGGGGCTTTCTGTGCGATTCCATTTCTCTGGAGTGAGGAGGACGCAATGTAGCCGAAGCAGAGCCGAGCAGAGCAGCCTGTTTTAAAGGTGGTGGTTGAGTTGTTTTTCCCAATGGGTCAGATGTTGCTTCCAGTGACGACACTCGTTGACCAATCAGTGTAAGGCAGTGGGCCGACGTCACGTCATGGTACCGGTACTATGGGGATGGAACCACGGCTGAGGCAGTACGGAAAAGCACTCAAATCCCCCATACCATACCCGAGTGGAAATGCAAAATTTCGCGCGCCGTACCGATACGAATTGAACCGACACTGTGGAAAAGCGGCATAAGTGTGTGCAACTTGAAAACTACAGATAATGTTTAAATAATTCTTAAATATTTATTTAAAGATGAATTATTTACTATTGTACTCTGTTTACTTACTGTATGTCTTTGTCTGTCTGTCTCTCTCCCTCTCTCTCTCTCCCTCTCTCTGCAGGAGCTGCAGAGCCTGGTGCTGCAGCTCCGGCAGGACCTGGTGAACCTCCGAGCTGCCACAGAACATCAGGAGGAGAAGCTAAAGGCTGAGATCCTGTTCCTGAAGGAGCAGATCCAGGCCGAGCAGTGCCTGAAGGAGAACCTGGAGGAAACCCTGCAGACGGAGATTGAGGGCTACAAGGAGGAGATGGGTGAGGACCATAAGGACACAACGTTTATAACAATAACTATATACATATAGCTATAGCTTTAGCATAATAAAGAAGCTAGTATAAAATCTCTAGCTTTAGCATAATAAAGAAAATTATTATGCTAAAGCTAGAGATAATGCCTCTCAGATATCGCAGAGTTAAGATTTACCTGGTTGTTTTTAGCTCCATCCACCCTCTGTGTGAATACTGTCTCAGACCTGGAGCCTGCTGAGATAAATTAGTGGCTCCAAATGAGTTTAAACTATTTCTGTGGTAAAATGAGCTTCTTTACAGCAGTGAAGTCTCCCTCTGGTGGTGAAAGTGGGAGTTAGATGCAGAGTTTTTATCCTTATGTGTTTGATTTGTCCATAAAGTTATATTAAGTTGGTGAATCATAACAACTTTTCATTTTTGTTTTTCTCAGATTTCTTCCAAGGTTTGTCAGACTCACTGCTGAATCTGAAGTGAAAGCTTTAACTTTAACTCTAACTTTAACTCAGACTCAGACTCACTGCTGAATCTGAAGTGAAAGCTTTATTACCTCAACGCATGCCAGCCTATTTCAGAACAGGTACTCCCATATTGCCAGCAGTTTCTGATGATTTGTATTGGTTTTTCAAGACCCACAGAATATTGTGTACTATGACTATCTGAAGTCCGAAACCAGATTCTGAAAAAATGGACTGTCTTCTTTCATCAGCAAAAAGAAATTTGTTTCTAGTTTGTTTCGTTCTCCTGTAATCCCCAGAGTAGAGGGAAGTTTTACTGAAATCACCAGTCTAAGACAAAAGCTGAGAAAAAGAGGATGCAACAAGTGCATCCTGTTTTCAAAACATCCAGAGGCAGCGCTGCTGCCACCTGCTGGCTCGATAAAATATGGTCTAAAGCTGATCCCCGTACATATTAGATATAATAGACACCTGGGAACATGAAGATAGTGAAAAACGCGTTTGAAGCCTTATTGTGTCAATGGCAGTACCTCCTACTTTTACTCTTGCTCCTGCTCCTACTCCTACTCTTTATATCCTGCTGTGAGGTTACTCTCAGGGTCCACTGAATTGGCCCAGGGGGGGTCAGCCCCATGGAGGGCATGGATTATGTACCGGACTCCGTAGTCGCGCTGGAGGGATTTAAATTTGTGCACGCAGACCGGAGCGCTGAGGGGAGTGGGAAGAAGAAAGGCGGGGGAGTCGCTGTCTACGTGAATGAGAAGTGGTGCATCCCGGCTCATATTCATGTTATTAAACGTACATGCAACCAGGACCTGGAGCTGCTCGCTCTGAGCATGAGACCCAGATATCTGCCGCGCGAATTCTCGAACACAGTGGTTCTGTGTGTGTACATTCCTCCATCAGCGGACGCTGCTGTAGCATGTGAGGGGATCCACAGCACTGTGACCCAGATCCAGACCCACAGCCCCCGCGCTCTGATTCTGATCAGCGGGGACTTCAACCACGCCTCCCTCTCTGCCCCTCTCCCGACATTCAAACAGTATGTCATGTGTCGAACGCGCGAGAACCGGACCTTATGGTGCTTTCAGACCGGATCATGCGTTGTGTCTGCTTTCAATGCAACGGACCTCTCGGCATGCACGGACGGACTGTTCAGTAGACACGCACGGACTTGGCGGTAAAGTCAAAGAGGAGGAGCAGGAGCGAAAAATCAACGCCCACAGGAGATGGATTCTGCTCATCCTTTCCTTGGGACGTTTGTGCGACAACCAATCAGAGAGCCGCAAAGTGGTCACGGGGACATTAGTGGACTGAGCGAGCAGACTGAAAATACTGTAAACAGCCAAAACAGGACCCACACCAGGCTTCACCAGAACTCAAACCAGTGTTGACAATGGGGGACTCTGTGCTTGTGAAAATATGCGTTGTCATGCTCCCGTGACCTTATGCAACTGCTTCGAGTGTGTTCGCCGATGCGGAAATACCGTTTAATAATATGAAAAAACGTATGGCGCACCTCCGTGAACACATACTATTGTTGTATAAAGCCCGTGGAAAGTCTCTGTTCAAAGCTGCATATTGGAGAAGATCTGTACACAAGAAGCCGCTAGCTAAACTCTGTTAGCATCAGAGCCGCCCGGCTACTTTCGGCACTTCCGGAAGTATATTATATTATAGTATTTATAAAAGATTTAACCAGTATTTCAACTAGTTTGATTCTCCCCCCTCTCCATCTGCCCCCCCTCCATCACACCGGACCAGGTGAGGAGTCAGCTCCAGCGCCTGAAGCAGAGGAAATCCGCAGGACCGGACGGGATCAGTCCCAGGCTGCTGAGGACCTGTGCAGACCAGCTCTCTGAGGTCCTCTCTGAGGTTCTCAGCTCTCAGTACAACCTGAGCCTCAGCCTGGAGAAGGTCCCTGTCCTGTGGAAGACCTCCTGTGTGATCCCGGTTCCTAAAACAGCGCACGCCAAGGAACCGGCTCACTACAGACCAGTCGCACTGACCTCCCACCTGATGAAGACCATGGAGCGGCTCATCCTCACCCATCTCCGCTCCGTGGTCAGCCCCACCCTGGACCCGTTGCAGTTCGCCTGCAGGCCCAACATCGGAGTAGAGGACGCGTCATCTACTTACTGCAGCGGACGCTCTCCCACCTGGAGCCTGCCGGAGCGCTGTGAGGGTCATGTTCTTCGACTTCTCCAGCGCTTTCAATACCATCAGGCCGGCACTGCTGCGGGGGAAGATGGAGGATGCGGGAGTGGACAGTAGCCTCACTGCATGGACCATCAACTACCTCTCAGACCGACCACAGTACGTGCGGCTGCGCAGCTGTGAGTCTGAGGTGGTAGTCTGCAGCACTGGGGCCCCTCAGGGCACTGTCCTCTCACCGTTTCTCTTCACCATCTACACCTCAGACTTCACATACGACACACACAGCTGTCACCTGCAGAAGTTCTACGACAACTCCGCCATTGTGGGCTTTGTGTCTGAGGGGAACGAACTGGAATATCGGTCGGTTATCACGGACTTTGTCGACTGGTGCGAGCGCAACCACTTGTACTTGAACACCAGTAAGACCAAGGAGATGATCATCGACTTCAGGAGAAAACCACTTTCCCACACGCTGCTGAACATCCAGGGGGAGGACATTGAGCTGGTGGACAGCTTCAAGTACCTGGGTGTTCACATTAACAATAAACTGGACTGGTCTATAATACCAACGCTCTGTACAAGAAGGGCCAAAGTCGCCTCTTCCTTCTGAGGAGGCTGAGGTCCTTCGGAGTGAGCAGGCCTCTGCTCAGGACTTTTTATGACTCTGTGGTAGCCATTTACTACGCTGCCGTGTGCTGGGCCCCGGGCAGCACAGAGCGGGACAGGAGCAGACTGAACAAGCTGGTCAGGAGGGCCAGCTCCACTCTGGGCTGCTCCCTGGACTCTGTGGAGGAGGTGAGGGACAGGAGGCCCCTGGACTCTCTGGAGGAGGTGAGGGACAGGAGGCCCCTGGACTCTCTGGAGGAGGTGAGGGACAGGAGGCCCCTGGACTCTCTGGAGGAGGTGAGGGACAGGAGGCCCCTGGACTCTCTGGAGAAGGTGAGGGACAGGAGGCTCCTGGACTCTGTGGAGGAGGTGAGGGACAGGAGGGTGCTAGTCAAAGCCAAAGTCAAAGTGTAGGAAGGAACGCTACCGCAGGGCCTTTATCCTCACCGCTGTCAGACTGTACAACAAGTCACTTTAAGTCACTGTATTAAAAAAAGAAAACCTGCACTACTATTGACAGTGTTTCTGATTGCCACTTTTTAATTGACACTTTTTTTATTGTACATAATATATCCTGCATTTAACATGTTTGCACATTTCCTTTCTTTATGCACAATCTTGAGTTTTTCTACCCATGCCAAATGTGACATGTAAATTTCTCCTTTGTGTGCATCTTATCTTATCTTATTAGGGGAAAATCCATACCAACAACTTGATATGCATTTAATAACAAGGAAAAACAATCACCACTGTTCGTGTGTGTGTGTGTGTGTGTGTGCACTTGTTTTCAACTCCTGGTGGGTTCCATAACCTGAGATTCCACTCACGTCATGGGGACTGGTTTTACGTGGTGGGGCCCGAACACCGGACCCCACTGGTCCAAGCTTAATAATCAATGGGTAATGCTTTTCTAACGGTCCTTATGCAGTCTCTGTAAAAATATGGAAAGGACCCCTGGAGGTTTACTTTCCTGAAAAAAGTGTGTTATGTGTCGGAACCCTGGTGGTGGGTTGCGGGATATCAAGGAGGGGCACACTGGGGCAATTTCAGTCCAGCAGGCTGGAGCCAATCATGGAGCAGCACAACAGAGGAAATCAGGTGTCAGGCTAGAAAAAGGTGCAAGTGTGTGGTTCATTAGGCTGCAAGAAATCATGGAGGAGCACACTGAAGCGCACGCTTACAAACCACTGGTAAGTGCTGACTACAAGTCATGACTTCAAATTGTTATATAGAATGATTACAAATTATTTGTTGTTTGTGCAGCTTAGTCAAGAGTCCCTAATTGATGAAGTCGACTCAGATTCTGACGATTTAACTGTCAAGAAGAAACCTGTAAAAAAGTATGGAAAAAGAAAAATCAAAAACACTTTTCTTCAAGACTCGGAAAGTGACGAACCAAAGGCAAATAAGATTGTTATCATGCAGCTGCAAAAGAAGAAAAATGGGGGGCGAGTATACAGCAAGAGACACTTCTGCCTCTACTGTTCAATGTCCTGCCACAAAATGTCCCGTCATTTGACTAGAAAACATGGAAATGAAAGTGACGTAGCCAGAGCATTGGCTCTACCTGTGAAATCTAAAGCACGTAAACTTCAGTTTGATTTGATCAGGAATAGTGGAAACCGTGAGCACAATTTTGAGGTTTTAAAGGCCGGCATTGGAACTTTAGTCCCAGCTAAACAGCCAAATTCCCCAGTTAAATCCAGTGAGTTTTTGCACTGTATAGACTGTGGGGCATTGCTTAAGCGAAAGTCGCTGTGGAGGCATGTGGCCAGGTGCCGGCTTTCACAGAAAGATGCCCAGGCTAAACCAGGTAGAAGTAGGGTCCAGTCCCTCTGCTCCCTAGCCCAGCCTGTACCGGAGGGCATCAGCAAAAAGCTGTGGTCTTTAATTTCGGCAATGCATCAGGATGAGGTCACGGGTGTTGTCAAAGCAGAAAAGGGGATTCTGAGACTCGGAGAGCACCTGTACTTAAAACACGGGCATGATAAGACTAAGCATGATTACATTAGGCAGAAAATGAGAGAAGTCGGTAGGTTAATTAACGAAGCAAAAACCGCAGGGAAACTGAAAACAATTAAGGATTTCTTTATTCCTTCCAACTTTAACCATGTGATTGATGCAGTCAGGTCTGTGGCTGGATATGATGAGGAAACAAATCAATACAAGACTCCATCCTTGGCCCTCAAACTCGGCCATAGCCTCAGAAAGCTAGCAGATATTCTTGAATGTGACTCAAAAATGGAGCATTGTGTTGATGAACTATTTATTAAAAACCTCCAACGAAGCCGGCTGCTTTTTGAGAAGAGGTGGGACGTCTGTGTTTCTTCTGCTGCCCTACAGACCCTCCGGCAAGCCAAGTGGAACACTCCGGACCTGCTCCCTCTGACTGAGGACGTTAGAGCCATGCATGCACATATTGAGGTATGTCGACCTGAATATGTGCAAACCCTAATAAGTGAGCCAACGTCTAAGCATTGGTCTAAACTGGCAGTTTTGACTCTTTGTGAGGTCATCATTTTCAATCGAAGAAGGGAAGGTGAGGTTTCAAAGATGCCACTGACAGCCTTTACCTTAAGAAGTAAGACTGGGATCCATTCTGACATTGCTCTGGGACTGTCCCAACTTGAGAAAAAGCTGTGTCAGCATTTTCAACGCATTGAAATTAAAGGGAAAAGAAGTCGGAAAGTGCCGGTTCTTTTGACTCCTGAAATGATTGCTTCGATGGAGGTGCTGGTGGAGAACAGAAGGGCCTGTTCCATCTCTGACCATAACCCATACTTCTTTTCCCGCCCGGGCGCAGACACCCACATCAGGGGATCAGACTCCCTACGCCAGGTAGCCAAAGAATGTGGTGCGGTGCATCCAGAGATGCTATCCTCAACCAAACTTAGAAAGCACATAGCTACTATGTCTACAGTTCTCAATATGAAAGAGAATGAGATGGACATACTTGCCAACTTCAACAGACTGGAAAGGTCCCTGGGAAGTCTCACTGCCTGGCCTGCATTAATGCCTCACCAGATGACCTTAGACATCGGACATGGAGTGGCATTAAATTCTATGTCAAAAATAGAATCACTGCAATTCGAAAACAAAATCTAAAATAAAATTCCTTTAAAATAGTTGTTTGGTTTCTATTGACTGTTTTGTATTACTTAAAGTCTTGGTAAAAAAAGATTATGTCTATGGGTCCCATTCTGAACGGCCCTGTCAAAGGGACCCACCAGGTAACAAAAACGTGTGTGTGTGTGTGTGTGTGTGTTAAAGTGACAGTTGTGTAGCTGAATCCTGTGTGTGTGTCTGCAGCGTCCTTCTCCAGCCTCAGGACAGAACTGGAGCGAGTCAAAGCCGAGAAGGAGCAGGTAACTTTACTGGACACGAGTTTTCATGGTCCTCACAAACACATGAAGAGTTCAGGCTCAGACACTGCAGAATAAAGTTATAAGTTTATTGTTATTATTGTTGTTTTTATTGGAGCAGAAAGAAGACGACAAACATTATACATCTGTCACTCGTTCTCCTGCAAATATTGATATTATTATTTAATTTATTCCTGTCCTTTTTCATTACAACGTCTGTGTGTGTGTTTGTGCAGTTACAGAAGAGTCTGAGGGAGAAGACGGAGAAACTGGAAGCTGTGGAGAGTCTGAAGATCAGTCTGGAGCAACAGATGACCGAGCTCCTCTCATCCAAGGTACACAACACACACACATGTCAACACACACATGTACATACATACAGACACACCTTGGGCCAGTGGACTCCACAGACAAATAGAGACTGATCAAACTATAACCACATGTTGGACTCTTCTCGCTGGAGAGTGTGTAACTGTGTGTGTCCTGCAGAGGGCGCTGGAGAGTGTGTAACTGTGTGTCCTGCAGAGGGCGCTGGAGAGTGTGTAACTGTGTGTCCTGCAGAGGGCGCTGGAGAGTGTGTAACTGTGTGTGTGTCCTGCAGCGGGCGCTGGAGAGTGTGTAACTGTATGTGTGTCCTGCAGAGGGCGCTGGAGAGTCAGGCTCTAGATGAGAAGGACAAAGCTCAGCGGCTGCAGACGGAGCTGGACGTGAGCGAACAGGTTCAGAAGGACTTTGTCAAACTCTCTCAGACGCTGCAGGTATAAACTACACACACACACACTACATACAGACACACTCACTACACACACACACACACGTTAGCGCACATGCTCATGAACGTTTTTGAGCAGAGACCTGAGACATGAAACACGATTTATCACAGAATCATACTGTCTGTATCGTGATATGTTAGAATCACATACTGTCTGTATCATGATATGTTAGAATCACATACTGTCTGTATTGTGATATGTTAGAATCACATATTGTCTGTATCGTGGTATGTTCAGAATCACATACTGTCTGTATTGTGATATGTTAGAATCACATACTGTCTGTATTGAACAATAATATTGAATTACAGTAAATACTATTGGCCTAAATATTGCAGTATTTTTTTGCCAGTTTTTCCTGGTGTTCAGCTTCCTGAATGTTCTGGTTCCATCTGTTGTTTTTGTTTTCCTCATGTGAATCCTCTTGTGTTTTTGTATGTATTGTGAACCTTGTGTGTGTGAGTGTAGATAACTGTGGTGTGGTCTCCTCAGGTCCAGCTGGAGAGAATACGACAGGCCGAGTCCTTGGACCGGATCAAAGCCATCCTCAACGACACCAACTTGACCGACATCAACCAACTCCCGGACACATGATAGTCCCGCCCCCACCACCTGTCAATCACTGTAACTCACCCCTAAAAAACTCCGCCTCTCCCATGGCCAAGGGGCAGGACGGGGACCCCACACCCAGCAGGGGGAGCCAGAGGGCGGACACTGCTACTGTAAATAGGGCCTGTACCTGTGGGTGTGTTTCTATTGTAGTTATCGCAAATCAGAAAATTTATGTTTTTGTTCAGCACTTTCCATGGAGGACGCTTCTCATCGACACTTGCTCCTCCCTTTGTTCCACTGGCTCCTCCCTTTGTTCCACTGGCTCCTCCCTTTGTTCTACTGGCCCCTCCCTTTGTTCCACTGGCCCCTCCCTTTGTTCCACTGGCCCCTCCCTTTGTTCCACTGGCCCCTCCCTTTGTTCCACTGGCTCTTACCTTGTTCCTGCTGACTCCTCCCCATGTTCCACCGGCTCCTCCCCTTGGATGGTCTGGCTCCTACCTTGTTCCCAATGGCTCCTCCCCCTGCCCTCATGGCTCCTCCCACATGAAGGAAGCTCTGCAGGAGTTGTGTAACTGTGAATCGGAGTGGCCCAGTTTGTCGCCTGCTTCAAAGAGACTAACGACAGAGACGCAGATGGTTTTATCGCTAACGTCTTGTACATTTGCTTGTAACGGTTCTTAATGTCATTCAGATTTGTCTTAAATTAAAATTGTTAAAAACTCAGATCCTTTACTCGTCTCACAGTGAAATGTCAGTGTTGCATCATCAGTTACAGAACGAGGAGAACACAGCACAAAACTCTGTACTTTTAATAATAAAATAACATCTCTATCGAGATGAATAAAGAAACAAAGTGTGTGTGTTCTAGTGCAAGAATATTAAGGTTAAAGGTGCCATATTTGGGTTTTCTTCATGTTCCACAGTCCTCTGCACATGTGAGATAATTAGCATCACTGTACTCTTTTAGGCAGAATCAATGTTAAAGGTTGAAAGAAGGATTTTCTACTCCTGGGTGGATCTTCAAGACTATTGGTCCTCCCAACTGTCAATCATCCTGGTGATTTGTGCTCGTCCAATAAGAGCAGAGAGTTTTGTTAAAAAATGAGGGAGTCTCTTTCCTAAAATTTGGGGAAATCCTCCTTTAAATTATCAGCAACACAAAGATCCAAACTGTGGTACAGTCAGACACAGTTACAGTCTAACTAAATAATAATACTAGACAATAGAATTAAAATAATAAGATAATACGATGGTAAAATAGAACAGCCTCCCTGGGGCCTAATGGAAGTCAGAGAAACTCACAAATACAAAATACAATTGTAGTTTATGTTCCTATATAATTATTAATCTTGTGTTGAGATACAGAGTAAGTACCACCTCTCTCCTGCAGGAGGCGCCTCCTTTACTGCAGGCTCAGTTGCAGTATCACGGTCTCTCTCCTGCAGGAGGCGCCTGCTTTACTGCAGGTGATGTTGCAGTACCACCTCTCTCCTGCAGGGGGCGCCTCCTCCTCTCCCTCCTGAGCCTCAGCGGAAGCACAAACCAGATTTGGGGCGAGGGATACGCCGCCACAGAGACCCAGAGCCTGGAGCAGAGCCCGAGGACCGTGCCCTCTCACACCCGCACTATGGAGCCCTCATGGCGGACCCAGAGAGCTGCCCTCCCGCTGCTGTTCCTCTGCAGCGCCCTGGGTGAGTGTCTGCCCCGGGCTGGGACCTCTGATTTTGGGCGTGTTGTGTTTGTGATCCCGGAGCTAACAGCCACGGCTCCTTCTTCTTCAGACCTGTTTTTACGCTTCACACTGGGGTTTACTCTCTGTAGAAGCTTCTGGAGCCGTGACTTCGTGTTTTATTCAGAACCTTCTGCTGCAGATTGCGCAGATTGCGCTGTTCTGTGTTGTTTGTCTCCGCGGCTCAAAACAGCGTCGTGTTGTTTTTGGAGGCGCCGCGGATCCACTCGGTTCAAACGCCTCCATTTTACACCAAAGAACCAGACCTGTGTCCTAGCCTATGGTCTCCCTCTCTGGTCTCTCTCTCTGTGGTCTCTTTCTGGTCCCTCTCTTTCTGGTCCTTCTCTCTGTGGTCTCTCTCTGTGTGGTCTCTCTCTCTGGTTTCGCTCTCTGGTCTCTCTCTCTGGTTTCGCTCTCTGGTCTCTCTCTCTGGTCTCCCTCTGTGGGATCTCTCTGGTCTGTCTCTGGTCCCTCTCTGTGGGATCTCTCTGGTCTGTCTCTGGTCCCTCTCTGTGGGGTCTCTCTGGTCCCTCTTGGTGGTCTCTCTCTGTGGGGTCTCTCTGGTCCCTCTCTGTGGGCTCTCTCTGTGGTCTCTCTCTGTGGTCTCTCTCTGTGGTCTCTCTGTGGTCTCTCTCTCTGGTCTCTCTGTGGTCTCTCTCTCTGGTCCCTCTGTGGTCTCTCTCTCTGGTCTCTCTGTGGTCTCTTTGTGGGGTGCATTGTCCTGGTCCTGACCTGGTCCCAATGCCTCACACCCGGGAGTAGAACCCCAGACCCAGACTATGAAAGCAGACTTCCTGGTTCCTCTGAGGACTCACGGTCTTGTAAAGCGTCTCCGGGTTAAGGTTAGGGTCTGTTACCATGGTTACGGTTAGGGTCTGGTACCATGGTTACGGTTGGACCAGTCACTGATGTACAATGAACAGCAGCAGTGACATATTCTCACATGGTCTTTCTGCTCGTTCTGACATAATCAGAACATGTGTGATTGGTTAGAGTCCAGGCCAGACTCAGATACAGATGATTGTGGGGTCGTTTTTAGACTAAACTGGTCACGTAATGATATATGTTTACATAATGATAGATAGATAGATACTTTATTGATCCCTGTAGGAGAAATGCAGGTGTTCAGCAGCAGCAAAAAAAATGTATCATTCTAAAAAGCTAATAATAATATTATTCAGCCACAGCCTCAGGTCACAGCAGCAGAGGAGGAGCTTGGTTCGGACCATTTTCTCTGCTCTGGTCCAAAAGTAAATAATATACTTTACATAATGATATGTTATTAGCCAATGCTAACATCTTCTTACCTCTCAAACGTTTTTACAGGATGGTCCAAAAGTTGGCTCTTGGCCCAAAGCTCCGCTCCACATGTGTGTCAATGCTGAGGGGGGTGTTTTGGACCAGTCTAGTTTAGTCGCTGTGGACTTTAGAAGTCACTTGTTTAAATGAATGGAGCTCATGCAGCTGACACATGCGCGGATTCGTTTTTTCACATTTTCCTGCCCCCGCGGCCATTTTGAATCACTCCATAAAAGCCCAATTTTTGGCCCATTAGTTAGAACGGCAGAGATAGGCGTGACTACATCCGTTAATATATACAGTCTATGGTTTTAACCTTTAATTCCTGCTCTCACTCTGAGCTCAGGGGAAAATGTTTTTTATTTATTTTAGGATTTTTAAGTTCAGTCTGATGATCTAGGGCTGGGACAACGCATTGACGTAATCAATTACGTTGACGCAAAAAATACGTCGATACAGTATATGCGCGTCGATTCGTCATACTCAAAACAAAGATGGCAACGAGTAGTAGCAGTTGTATGCGAGTGCCGTCTTATGGGGCATTCAGACTGACATTGGAACGCAGTTTCCACGCACAGTAGACGCACATTGTCCAAATTACAGAGGCTTGGGATGTTCAGACCAGAAGTCCTGGGCTAGCAGAGTTAAACTAGCGGAGTTTAGATAGTGGATTTTTGTGTAAAGTTCATCTCCAATAATGCAGCGTCTCTGTGTCTGAGACCTTCACAGACTTTATATAACCGCAGTATGTGTTCACGGAGGTGACTTTATATAACAGCATTCTTCATTTCATTAATGCTTCCATATATTAAAGACCTTATGCCGGGTTTGATTTATTTAGAAATACAGTTTTAATACAATTTTATATTAGAAGAGAACTACTAAAGGTTTCACAATCAGTTGTTGTTTTTTTTGTCTGATCCCCCCAAATCGAAATAACCCCATAGCAACGCCCTTAGAGACGAAAAAACTTCACAGCCCTTGGTGACGTCAGAGTGGGTACGTTTCAACGCTGTAAGTTGTTTACAATTTGGTATTCGTTCTTTTTTCGCGGATATTCAAGATGACAAGGCCGTGTACAGCGAGTATGAAATTACTACTAGATTATAGTCTTTCGTTGGCACTAAGATAGTCCAGTAGTTGTGTCGATGGACTGTCAAGCCAGATATTGGAGTTCAAATCCCACCTCAGACACATTTTCACTCTCAAAACGGCAATTTATGTGTAGTGAGCAATTGTCACCTGTAGAGTGCAGTATTGTGGTGGGCATCAGTGGAGAGAAGAGAGAAAAGGCATTCCTGTGGCATAGATCCATGGTTTTCAATGCATGGGCGTTACCCGCTATGACGTCACACACAGGTTAGAGCATAGACAGCTTAAATTCATGAAAAACACGTTCTTTTTATAAAATATAGGATTTTTTGGCCTCAATCTATTTCAGATCGACATTGTCATGCAATTTTGATATCCACAATTTTTTCTTTTAAACCCGGCATAAGGTCTTTAAGTATCGATACTTATTATTCTTCATGTAAAGCTTAAAAAAAATAAAAAAAATTATTTTATTTGGCTAGCATTGGTGTGTGTACTATAGAGAGGTCTGATGGTGGAGTTCCCTGGTGACGGTGACAAAGGCGTCTGGAGCTGTGTCATGTGACACCGGGGTCTGCAGACTTTTAACTTCAAAATCTGCCTCCTCACCTACCAATGCATCCACGGACATGCCCCGGACTATCTCACAGAACTTCTCACTCCTCCGCCCATAACCAGAGCACTCCGGTCCACAGACACCAACCTCCTCTCCATCCCCAGAACTAAACTCCGGACAATGGGTGACAGGGCTTTCCAGGCGGCTGCTCCCAAACTGCTGGAACGCCCTACCACCACACCTGAGGGCCCCACAGTCATTGGAGAACTTCAAAAGAGGACTTAAAACTTTTCTGTTTCCTTCTTAACATTGTTTTAACACTGTTTTAACTTTAATGATGTGTGCTTGTATTGTTGTTGTGCTGTAGCACTTTTAGATTTGTATGTAAAGTGCATTACAAATTAAAGGTATTATTAACCTGGTCTCTCTCTGGTCTCTCTCTGGTCTCTCTGGTCTCTCTCTGGTCTCTCTCTGGTCTCTCTCTGGTCTCTCTCTGGTCTCTCTCTGGTCTCTCTCTGGTCTCTCTCTGGTCTCTCTCTGGTCTCTCTCTGGACTCTCTCTGGACTCTCTCTGGACTCTCTTTCTGGTCTTTCTGCTGAAACTGGTGATAATAAATAAAATAGAGACTACTAAAAACTACAGACTAACTGCTGTATGTAAAGTGTGTTGCTATGGTAACTAGCACTGGCTCTCTCTCTCCTCAGTCTTCACCTCCTCTCTCCCCCTCAGTCTCACCTCCTCCTCTCCTTCCTCCTCAGTCTCACCTCCTCCTCTCCTACCTCCTCCTCTCCTTCCCCCTCAGTCTCACCTCCTCCTCTCCTTCCTCCTCAGTTTCACCTCCTCCTCTTCTACCTCCTCCTCAGTCTCACCTCCTCCTCTCCTACCTCCTCCTCTCCTTCCTCCTCAGTCTCACCTCCTCCTCTCTCTCCTCAGCCTCACTTCCTCCTCCTCACCTCCCCCTCTCCCTCCTCCTCAGCCTCACCTCCTCCTCTCTCTCCTCCTCAGTCACGCGGCCCTCCTCAGCCATTGACATCCGTGCGGACCAGGAGGTGCTGGCGGAGAACGGCACCACAGGAGTCCTGCGCTGCTCCTTCAAGTCCAACCAAGTGGTGAGCAGCGCCACCTCCGTCTCCTGGAGCTTCCAGTCCTCGGAGCCCGAGAGCAAGTTCTCCAAGGACTCCTACTCGGTGAGCCTCCTCCTCTGCTGCCACCTCCTCCTCTGCTGATACGTCCTCCTCTGCTGCCTCCTCTACTACTGTCGTCTCCTCTACTACTGTCGTCTCCTCTACTGCTGCCGCCTCCTCTACTGCCGCCTCCTCCTCCTCTACTACCCTGTATAGATTCTGACCCTGTACCTGTGCTCCTGACCCTGTATAGATCCTGTACTACATTGACCCTGTGTACCTGTGATCCTGACCCTGTATAGATCCTGTACTACATTGACCCTGTACCTGTGATACTGACCCTGTATAGATCCTGTATTACATTTAACCCTGTACCTGTGCTCCTGACCCTGTATAGATCCTGTACTACATTGACCCTGTGTACCTGTGATCCTGACACTGTATAGATCCTGTACTACATTGACCCTGTACCTGTGATACTGACCCTGTATAGATCCTGTACTACATGGGTGGAAAGGCGTTCCCAGGCTTGGAGGAGTTTAAGGAGCGTATCCAGTTTGTGGGGGACATAAACAAACGGGACATGTCCATCCAGCTGAGCCCGGTGCTGTTCAGCGACAACGGCACCTACTTCTGCGACGTCAAGAACCCTCCGGACGTGGACGGGACCCGGGCCCGGACCGAGCTGCGCGTGGTCTTCAAAGGTAACTATCCAACGGTCTCTCTCAGGTCTCTCTCTCTCTCTCAGGTCTCTCTCTCTCTCTCTCTCTCTCTCTCTCAGGTCTCTCTCTCTCTCTCTCTCAGGTCTCTCTCTCTCTCTCTCTCAGGTCTCTCTCTCTCTCTCTCAGGTCTCTCTCTCAGGTCTCTCTCTCTCTCTCTCAGGTCTCTCTCTCTCTCTCTCTCTCTCTCTCTCTCTCTCAGGTCTCTCTCTCAGGTCTCTCTCTATCGCTCTCTCTCTCAGGTCTCTCTCTCTCTCTCTCAGGTTTCTCTCTCAGGTTTCTCTCTCAGGTTTCTCTCTCAGGTTTCTCTCTCAGGTCTCGCTCTCAGGTCTCTCTCTCTGTATTTCTCTCTCTCAGGTCTCTCTCTCGGTCTGTCTCACAGGTCTGTCTCTGCCTCTCTCGCTTATGTTTGTGTAAGCCCTCAGTTGTACAGGGATTAGTCAAAGCAAAGGAAGGTTTCTCACCCATCATCTGTACTTCTTAGAAAGTTTTCCCGACGTTTCGTCCCCAATCCAAAGGACTTCTTCAGGGATTTCTCAGACCGCACGTTGGAGATTTATAACCTATGGGTGTGGTTAGCCACACCCTAAAGCCTAGTGTATACTTGCGCGACGTGGCTTACGTGAGCGGTTGCGGTGGACCTACGTAAGCACAATTGATGTTATACTGGCGCGTTCCTCTTACGGAGTTTTGAGGAGAATGTTGTAATCCCACAACAAACCACATGAGGAGCGGTCCCATTTACGCTGCTACTTTGTCCTCTTCAGAACAACAATAACAAACAAAGCTGTTTGAGCTCATTACACGTGTTTCTACTGTAGGTTTTTGTGATAGTTTTATGGATTCATTATTTTATAAGTCATTTCAACTGTGATGCTGTGAATAAAGACACAGTTCTTGTTGGAAACATAGTTATTATCAAATAGTTTTCAGCACAAACAGCAAAACAATAATAGTGGTAAATATCTGAGACAAACATGAACGATTTACGAGTGCAGGAGGAAAGCAACAAACGCAGCTACGATTCAAACAAAGACAGGAACAGTGCAAAACAAACGACTGCACAGTTTATAAGTTATATATATGTTAGATAGTCCACAGTCTCCTGTATATCAGGCTCTGAGCCCAACCTGCTTTTCCTTCGAAGCGTGAAGCAGTCTGCTCCACAGTGCCTCGTCCATGTCCCTGCTGCAGCCGCTCCGTGCTTCCTTCCAATACGCACACACGGACCAATCACAGCAGAGCATCCTTGCGGCGACTCTTACGTAGTCAGAAAATTTCGATGCTGCGCGGCAGGCAACGTAAGGGCCTTGCGGTGACTAACGCGTTGCGCAAGTGACGTCACGTCACCTCCGTAAGCTCCGCGCGAGTATACACTAGGCTTAATCCTGATACTAACTCATAAACAATCTAAGGTCTAAGACCTTAGACCTTTCTCTCTCTTATGGTGCATTCAGACCTCAAACGCTGAAGCCCCGCAACAGTAGTATGTGTTCACGGAGGTGCGCCATATGTTTTTTCACATTATTAAACGGTATTTCCTCATCGGCGAACACACTCGAAGCAGTTGCATAGGGTCACGGGAGCATGACAACCCATATTTTCACAAGCACAGAGTCCCCCATTGTCAACACTGGTTTGAGTTCTGGTGAAGCCTGGTGTGGGTCCTGTTTTGGCTGAAAATACTCGTAGTATTTTCAGTCTGCTCGCTCAGTCCGCTAATGTCCCCGTGACCACTTTGCTGCTTTCTGATTGGTTGTCGCACGAACGTCCCAAGGAAAGGATGAGCAGAATCCATCTCCTGTGGGCGTCGATTTTTCGCTCCTGCTCCTCCTCTTTGACTTTCCCGCCACGTCCGTGTGTGTCTACTGAACAGTCCGTCCGTGCATGCCGAGAGGTCCGTGCGTTGTGCCGCTGCAACGCACGTCACGCTGCTGCGACGCGCGTCACCATAGACTTTGCATTGAAACCCGACGTAACGCATGATCCGGTCTGAACGCGCCATTAGGTCGCTCTCTCTCTCTCTCTCAGGTCTCTCAGGTCTGGGTGTAACCTGCACCATTTTAGGTTTAATTGAAAATAAGTTTGTACTTAAATCGAACAGTTTATTGCAATCAATGTAAATGCTACGGATGTCATGTAAATAGTTCTATTAAAGTGTGTGTCTCTCGCTCTCTCTCTGGAAACAGAATCTATGGCTCAGAAGAACACGGTCATCATCGTAGGAGCCTCTGTGGGTGTTTTTCTTCTGCTCGTGCTCATCGCGGTGGCGGCCTTTGTGGGGTTGCGTGTGGTGCGCAACCGTCACGACTACGAAGGGTAAGACAGACACACACTCACAGACACACACACACACACCACTGTAAGGACCTGGAGGCGTCTGTCCAAAATACAGACGAGTCAATAATAATAAATGCAACAGTTTGTTATTGTTGTAATGGAATTGTAATTTCCCAGGTCCCTGCTGTGCCACCAGAGGGCGCACTAGGACCTGGCTCTGGGTTTGTCTGAGAGAAAACCAAAAGTAGTTTATTACAACATTGATAAATACATAGAATATTCAGTTATTTTCTGCTCTGACACGTTTCAAAGTGGTTTAATGGAGTCTGTTCAGATCTAACCATTTCTTACATGACTTAACTCTAGATTAGATTAGATTAGATGAGATTATCTCTAGACAAACTCAGGTCAGAGGTGGAGGTGCTGCTTTCTGCTTGGCTTCAATGGCTTCATCTAAATGTTGTTATTCTACATCGTGTTTGATTAGAATTTAGTTAGAGACTGAGAGGGGACGGAGACCATGGAGTCTTGTCAGGACCATGAAGAGAGACCATCGATGTTAAAAGCACTTTTCTTTTACGCCTCGTGAGACTGCTCTGTCCACATTTGTCACTGTTCCATGTCCATTTTCCATCTCATTCTCCATTCTGTGTCTGTGTGTGCGTGTGTCTTTGTGTGTGTGTGTGTGTCTGTATGTGTGCTCCTCGTCCTGCTCCAGCTGCACCTCCCTGGACAGCACCTCCTCTCATGCACCTCCTCCCCGGAAGAAGCTCCAGTCGTGTTCGGAGGCGTCGCGGGGCAGTCCCTCGGGGGGCAGTCCCTCAGGGGGTCCACAGGTAGAAGATGGGTGTGTGCAGGTGAAGAGAGACACACAACAAAGTCATTTATGATTAACTCTGAGGAGCACAGGGACTGGCCTCCTGCTGGGACTCTGAGGAGCACAGGGACTGGCCTCCTGCTGGTCCCTTTCCTCTTGGATGCAGTGTGATAATGATGTGAAGTCCTGTGTGATTGTGTATGATCTGTGCTATACCAATAACCTGGCCGTGTGTCCGTAGGGCCCGGTGATATACGCCCAGCTGGACCACTCGGGCAGTAAAAACTCCTTTCACAAGATGGAGCCGGTGGTGTACGCGGACATCCGGAAAAACTGAAGAACCCGAACCAGAGGGACCAAAAAACAGAACCCAAAAAAACTCCAGTTACTGTAACTGCACAGACTCTGCTCCTCCACACGGGGGCGCCACCTCTGCAGGAAGCATGCAAACTCTGTGGATGATGTGTGTGTGTCAGAGGATCTAACTCTGACTGTCTCTGAGCTCAAGGCATTCTCTAAACAGGTGTAACCGCGGCGACCACTGGCTTCGTTTAACTGCAAATTTACACATCACGCGTTACAGCACGTACGCGTTATACGCGCAGCAGACGCGCGTAACTTTTTTTCCATGTCAACCTATGATGATATTTACACTTCTAGCGTTATACGCGCGTATGACGGACGTAAGACGCAAAGCTGCGCTCTAATTTAGGATGGATTTCTAATTTTGTGCGCGCACCAACGCGTCTCCCATTGAAATCTCATGTAAAACATGATTTTTCTAGCGGTCCTTGGCTCTAGATCACATCTGCACACACACAGCACTTGTGTCTAAACATCAGCAGGAGGAGCAGCAGGTTTTACAGTGATTCTGGACATCGTTTTTTTTCTTTCATAAAGTCTCGCGTCTGGCCAAACCAGCGCACAGAGACCATGAGGACAAACACATGCATGTGATTTGTGTTGCTCTACATCAGTCCTCTGGCCTATACTGTCCTCTACACTGCTCCATAGACACACACATGGAGAGCATCAAAAGACGCGGACCTGCGCGCACGGCCTGTGTAGATACTCCAAAAAATGTTACGCGCAGAGAGCGCGCAGTAAACGCGTACGCGCTGTTTACGCCTACTGTGTAAATTCCCTGTAACACCTCTGTCTTTCTTTTCTTTTATCAAATATTTACAATCCAGAGTGTCAGGTTCGCAAATGAATGTTTCAGAATCAAGAAAATGTAGAAAAGTCTTTGACGGCGACTTTTGCAGATGACTCTTTTCAACACTATCAGAATTTACAAAAATCTAGTTTAATCTTTACAGAGCTATGACCCTGACACTACTTCACACAGAAAAACCAGGCCTTTTTATTTTATTTTCTCTGTAAAGAAGCGGCACAGTGACTCCGCCCACTTCCTGCAGTGAGTCCAGTTTGAAGCTGAAGTGGTTGGAGCCTGAGGCGACAGTCGCTGTGTTTCAATGTTTACAGAATGTCTCTGAAGAATCAACACTAATGATGTCAGAGGCAGGCCAAGAGAGAGACTTTCTCCTCTGTAAGAACCAGGATCCTAAACCCACATGGTTATGGACCAGCAGAGAGCAGACATCCTCTCACTCCCTTCTCCTCTATCTCTCCCCCTCTCTCACTCCTCCTCTATCTCTCTCTCCTCTCCCTCTCTCTCGCTCTCCCTCCTCAGTCTCCTCGCTTTCCCTCTCTCTCTCCCTCCTCAGTCTCCTCGCTTTCCCTCTCTCTCTCCCTCCTCAGTCTCCTCTCTCCCTCTCTCTCTCCTCTCCCTCGCTCCCCCTCTCCCTCCTCAGTCTTCTTTCTCTCTCTCTCTCTCCCCTCTCTCCCCCGTCTGTCTCCCCCCTCTCAGTGCTTGTGTATTGCGCCTGCATGTTTTGAACTGAAGACCTGAAGCCCCTGTGACCGTGCTGTGACCGTGAACCAAGCGTGATGTGGTCGTCGTGGTAACGTGGCAGTTTGACCTCAGTGCGACATGAAAACCAGTGTTTTTGTGGCAGACGTTTCATTCTTGGGGAAAATGTATCGTGTGAGTTTAAAGGAACTGTAGGTTTTGGATTCAGACCCATGAGTCTCCACATATCAATATAATATACTCAACTGGAAAAGCCGTGATCGATGCTAATAGTTTATGTCCTCTCTCCTAGACCACTTATGCCCAAATAAGGACTTCCCCCTCTGCAGACCTCTCTGTGATATTCTTTAATCATTCCATAAATACTCAACGCCTCCGGCTTTGGCTGCAGCGGGACCTCCCTCTCCTCCTCGCACACTTCCTGCTCATTTCCAAACTGCACATTATTATTATTATTATTATTATTAAGAACCAAAACATTTAAAAACTCAGGACCAGATGTTGTCTCAAGTCTTAATTGTATTTAGTGAAAGGAGAAGTCAATGTTTTTACATACGGTTCCTTTAAAACACACTTTAGTTACTTTTACTGAAACCAGGTCGGACCTCGGGCTGGTCCAGGTCTTCACACTCTGAGACCAGAGCCACTGATTGCACTTCCTGTTCTCCAAACCTCACTTCCTGTTTTACTGAGGTGAAACAAAAACTGGTTCTTACTGGTTCTTACTCTGTTGCATGCAGTTTACTAACGTCATATCAACACCCTGTGATGTCACATGATAAACCATGGGCCAAACAAAAGTCTGCAGTCGCTCTGTCCTTCATCGTTTAGCTTTAAGGTCTTCCTTCAGTCTTAAGTTTAAGTGTCTTAAGTTTAAGTTTCTTTGAGTTTGTTTTGTGCCTTGTTTGAACATTCCTGTTGTGGACCCGAGAGAAAGAAAAGATTAAGTCTTTTCTGGACTGTGAAGTTGAAGCCGTGTCAGAACGCACACAACTTGCCACAAAATCATAGTTTTTAAATAAATCCAAACAATGAGCTGTTCCTCCGTCGTAAAGTTAGAGCTACGACTTTTTAAACTCTACTCAAACTCCAACAAATGAAATAAACTGACGACGTTCGATATTTCAGATCTTAGTCCCGCTTCAGTCGACAAAGACAGTTGTAAATGTGTTTCTGCACAATATGAGGACATGAAACCTGTTTTTTCGTACTACAAATGTATTTATAATTATTTAGTCGAAATTATATGTTCGTCATTTGTTTATGTTGCGCAGACGATGCTGTAATAGTTTAAGGTTCTTAAAGGGAAGAGTTCTGAAACGCTGGATCCTCGGTGTGTTCCACAGAGAGACACTTCAGAACAAAGACAGCTGCTTTAAATTCACCTCAAGTTCTATATCAAAGGCATTCAGCCATTTGATACCAAAATGTTAATACTCTATAGTTAAAATTAAAAGGCCCAGGTGTAAAGTTTACCCTGGGCCCCTGAAAAGCTTGGAGCGGTAGTGCAGACAGAACTTTCTCTACAATAGTTTGAGATAAAAAAATAAGTATCCATTTTAGCTCAACGGAACTCTGCACAGACTTGAACAAAAAATAATACAAATCTTTTGTAGCTTTCTGAAAGCTACTCACTGGAATCCAATCAACACATTCATGATCTTTCAGAAACATTACTTGGACGTATTGATAGACGTTACCAATTCAAGGGTGTGTCCTTTGTTGTGACTTTGAATTTACATTTAGTTTGCTACTTTCACTTGTGTTGTGTGCATTCTGTCATGGCTGCCTCTGTCCTCTGCCATTCCCTGTGATTGTGTTAGCTTTAGCGCATTGTCTTTAGCCGTTAGCGTGCTTCTAGCTTGACGTTAGCATGGCATTAGCTCTGGCCCTCTGCCATGCGGCCTGTGTTGTTGTACAGAGTTGTGTTGTAAAGTGTAAATTATGAACGATGTCTCTGCACATCCAATGGCTCTTCAGAATCAAAGTGTTTTTTGTTTCAGCGTTTGTTTATGCTAACAACCTTGATCAAAGTGTGTGCGGAGACATGTAACTTTAGGATAAATGAAGATGACAAAGCAACACTCCCACCTAGTGCCACAATTGGAACATACCATTCTGCTAGAGTCATTTGGAGAAATTGCCCAAACTCATTTAGAAGCAATTCTATAAGTTTGAAAAGCTGAGAATGATTAAATCTCAGTGTGTGGCGAGTGTCTCCTGTAACGGTCTTTGTCTCTGGACGCTCTTTGAGAAGGTTTTGTCATATAAACGCTTGTCTGTCTGGCCTGTTGCCTCCCGTTAACTGGAAAGCGTCTGTATACATTAGTGCCTTTACATTTCATCGATAACTTGCTCTGAATAATGGAAAGAAAATTCATTTATTTTCCTTTTTATTGTATATTTTTTTTATACACATAACGCTGTATCCACTGTCAAATTTTATATAAAATTATTTCTGGCCAAATGTGTGTTTTTACATTTGTGTTAAAGCCAGCCCAGTGTGAATCCCGAGAAGTTGGAGCTAAATGTAGATTGCTAATGTTGTCTTATGTTTAATGTATTTCCGCATTTCCTAACATATTTTTATATTTATTATGGTTGCCCAACATTAATAATATTTTAAGAATATTGCGGGCCAATAAATGCATACAGCGTCAGCCCAGTTTCGCTCTAACCTGCGGGGTCATACCAGGTCATTCCCCCCGCCCCTTCCTGGACGGCTCTCTGTGACTGTGGCAAGCCCAAGCCCCGGCGATCCAAGATGGCGCCCTATTCAAATGAATTTTTTTATTTTCTTTATTTTTTATTGAATCAAACTCTTGCAGAGGTGACATGACATAGGAAAATAAAACAATGTATGCATTAACTTGGGGATTGTACAATTGAGGCAAATCAGGTTAATCAGACACATAAGAATAGGATACAGACATTTCTACAACATAAGGAATTTAGACATAGAGGCACAAATTTCTATTGCAATGGCAGATTTAAGCAATTTTAACGAGGAATAGTAGATTCTGAAATCATTCAAAAAATGATTGAAACAGGTATTTGGCTAATAGAAAAACAATATTTACAACATCTGAGACTTTCCTATCTAAATCTTTGACAAAATAAAATATGTGACAAAATTCAAAATCAGGAAGATCCAAAATCTTTAAGGAAAGCCACTCTGATGTCACTCCAAAATTTACGAGAGACTGAACAGGTGAAAAACAAATGCTCCAAGGTTTCCTCAGGACAATCACAAAAAGTACAGCCTGAGTTTTCATACTTAAACCGTTACTTAAAAGAAAATTGGACACTGGATACATTTTGTGGCAAATCTTAAAGTGAGTTTCTTTGACTTTTGGTGGAATTGGCCATTTAATGTACTTGGAGAAGGCCTCATTCAGTAAAACAGAAACTTCATTGATAAAAACTACCCTATTGTATCCATGATAAAGACAAGATTTGAAAGC